GATCTGCCTGTTCTGCTCCCCACTCTGTCTCTAGTGAATCCTCTCACCCTCTGCATCTCTGGCCTGTACCCCAGTTCTGTACAAATAAATCTTAAAAAAAAAAAAATATTCCAGTTACCTTGTATCTCTCTCTTGCTCTCTTTACCTGGGTTGTTCTTTTTCCTTTTCCTTCTTTTGTAAATAAACCCATTACCCTTTGTGTGTGTCTGCAGAACAATTAAATTTTAAGCGCGTGGGTGAGGACCCATATAGTCAGGCAGCCCAGTTTCATTCTGGGCTACTCTGTAATACCTTGAGCAGCATCAAGAGACCCTGCTTTGACAGCTTTTGCCCACATAATCTGGAGATCTCTTGAGAAGAGTGGGAGCAGTCTATAGAGACGCCTGCGATCACCACACTAGACTGCAGGATGGCCTCATCTATGAGACAGTTGTCAGCAACTTTCAGGATACAAGATAACATCCTGCCTCCACACTAAAACAATGTGTAGCAGTGAGTCACAATTTCACATGCATAGGAGTCACCAGGGGATCTCATAAAATGCCAATTCTGATTTAGAAGGTCTGGAGAGGTGCCTGAGAGTCTGCAACTCTGACAAAGACCCAGGCAATGTTAGTGCTGCTGGCTCAGAGCCCACGGGCTGAGCAGCAAGAATTTCTATGGTTTCAAAAGCTGAGAGATTTGAGTTAGAGTACAAATATTAATGTCAATATGATTATCCTTTAAAAGTTTCTCATTGTCTTCTCTCAAAATACAATAACCAACAATAACCTTTGCCAAAAACTTATATCTAACAAGTGATGTAAACAGATATAAGATGATCACTGCTTCCATTCACACCTCAAGAGCAGCTGGTGACATAAACCTAACACAACTGACATGCATTTCCTCAAAGGTCAACAGCACCTTGAGTAACCACTAGAAAAGACTCCCAAGATGAAAATAAAATGTGAGTAAGTGATGGTTCCAGAAAAAACAGAACAAGTGAAGAGCTAACTCCTGGGAGCTTCTCCCCTTCTCACCTCTTAAGAACGGGCTCTAATCTAGTCATACAAGAATCAGATTTACCTTGACAGCACTGGCAGTCACCTCAGGCACTGTGGCCATCTTCTGCAGATGTTGTAGCAAGCCCTCCTGCGTGAGGTCATTCTCAGGCAGAAAGTACTGGAAGACATCATACTGTAACCTCCAGCGAGAGTCCGGGCCCATCCCAACGTCACACAGTGGAGGATCTGCACCTCTAAAGTCAACCAATAAAGCTAGGCATCAGTGGTGGACTAAGTCCAAAAGGAACCAAGAGCTCAATGCTCAGTTAAGAAATGTTATCCAGTTAGAAGCACTGTGGTTAAGGAACCAGGCGCTCATGTCAATCAGGCCTGAAGTCTACTGCCAGCATTGCCACCGCTAGCTGGGTGCACGTGTGCAAGTCATTAACCTCAGTAACCTTTAGAGTGCCTCCTAAAGGCAGGAACGACTGCCTTTTCTTCCTATAAGACTATTTTGACTAGGAGGTCTCCTTGGTGAAGTAGGGACTAAGCACATCAAGCTATCACCAGTATGGCCTGCGTTTGATCCCCAGCCAGGGAGCTGATCCACATGGAATAGCAGACTTCTCGTTTCTCCCACTGCTCCTCTCAGCAGTGTTTCAGTAGATCCACCTGTTCTGCTCCCCAATCTGTCTCTGGTGAATCCTCTTACTCTGCACCTCTAGCCTAGAGCCAAGTTCTTATATGCATAAAAAAATGGAATAACTAAATTTTACTAATAAGAACTATGATTTTCAAGAGTGTTCACTGAATCTGCACAACAGCTTGTCAGGCTGGCCTGAAAGTAGGTTGAAGGGCATGGGAGATGGACGTACCTTGCATAGCCTAGGTTTGCCGGGGCAAATTTAATCTTTGTTTCAAAGAAATTATACTCCAGATAAATGTTGGGATCGATATCTAAATCAAACTCCAGATTGCAGCCTCCAGGGATAGGATCTGGATGAAAAATATGGAAGTTAATCAGCAAAGAATTCCTCTCTACTAAAAACACATGCAGAAACAGAATTTATCTAAGACCTTCCCACATAGAAGTTTTATACTACCCATCATGGACTGAGGTCAAAAGAGGTCAAGTTCCATGAGGTGAAGGGGTCTGGAAGAGGGTCAGCAATGCCTTCTGGTAAAGGACAAGCTAGTGAGTGTTCAGGCTTGGTGGCCTGCTGGCATCTGGCGGGGAGGTGGCCATGGACAATACATGACGATACATAGACAGAAGAACTGGCACGGCTGGATTCTAATAAGACTCAATGGCTAGCATGGGCAGTGAGTGAGGCTGACTCATGGGCCGTGCTCTGCCAACCTTAAAAAGGTCAGAGGAGACAGAGGTTCATAAGCGGAGCTCCAGGGAGGAGCCCAGGAACACCCTGACACTATGTACCAAATATTGGGTGTGTGCATTTTCTAAGGAGACAGGTTTTTATTGAATTTGAGGGATCTAAGGTCCCTAGTGGGAAGCCTGTGCTTCCCACACAGAACACACTGGCCATCGTCTTTTATCAATTCTACCTGTAACATCTCTAATCCAGCCCTTCTTCTCCATCCCCACCTCCTCCCCTGGCCTCTGTTCAGAGGCTCCTTTCTTTCTCTGAGCCCCAACTCTGCAATGCCTTCTCCAAGCTACTCCCCCTACAGCTTCTGGAGCTATTTTCTGAAGACATGAAATTCATGGCCTCATATGCTTAGCAACTCCCCACGCATCCCCTGAACGTGTACTCACAAGAGTGCAAGCCTCCAAGTGTGCACAGACACTTAATACTCAAGCTCCAGTCTCCCCCACTGTTCACTGTTTCCCCCCAACTCCATTCTTTATCCCCTACCTTCATTGAAAGTCTTCGTCTTGCCTTTCTGTTACTGGTTTTCTATGGGCTCCTTGAATGTTTTTACAAATAAAAAATGTATTCTCTTTGCTCCGTTCTGGCATTTCAATTACCATAGTTAATTCCCTGACTCCCTTACTATGAAAACCTTTCTGATGCAATAAACTATACTTGTAATAAACACTGACAACAGGATGATAGCTTTCCCTATCTTTTCATGAACAAGCCCCGCATCTGTAGAGTAACAGGGAGTGAACACAGGAGGGTCACCTCTCTCTGAATAGGACAGTGGAACGGCGACATTTTGGACAGGCTCAGCATCGAGAGTCTCCAAATGCCAAGTGCACACACTTTGCTCTGGTTTAAGAATGAAAACCAGTCCTTTGTCAGTACCTGTGCCTGAGGAATTGGGAAGGAGAGTCTGCAATAAAGAAGAAAAGGGAGAAAAATATTTATACTCCAGAACTTACCTAGTATGTTATGTCCTAACAGATTGCCTCAAACAAAAAGGAATAAACATGGCCCTCCCTCAAATATTGGAGATCTTGTCAACTCTCTGTGCACATGCCCACACACACGCACACAGCACACTGCAAATAGATGTCTCTGATCAAAACAGTAGGTCAAAGAGATGCCCAAGCTGTTCAATGCCCCCCAGATTAACATTTCCTCTGTCAAATACCAAAGACTCCAAACCAAAACTTAGGCCCTGCTCCCCAGGAGCTCAATTTTCAGAAAGCATTTTTAGAAACTGAGCCATATCTGACACATTCTACACTACAGGTTAAGCGTGCCATGTGCTAAGTTTTGATACACGTGGTCTGTGAAGCCATCACCACAAACACAGCTCCCCCACTCCATGCCCTTCCTAATCCTCTCTCATACCCTTCTTTTCTCCCAACCCCTAGCCTCATAAACTTGGGAAACATTTCTGAATACTAAAATGCTTAAGAGGCTATCATTTCAGAATTTCTTCTCAAACTAAGGAAATTGGAAAAAAAAAGGGCGAGATCTGTTTGAATTCCACAACATAAGGGAGAATAACCCACATTCTAACTGGCAAACTATAATGCCAACAGTTTTAAAGAATGACTGGGTGCTGGGAAAATTGGAAGCCACATATAGAAGAATGAAGTCGGATCACTCACTAGTCCCATACACAAAAATAAACTCCATGTGGGTTAAAGATCTAGATATAAGACTTGCAACAATAAAATACACAGAAAAACACTGGCAATATATTCCATGGTATCAGTCATAAGGGTATTTTGGGTGATTCAACCCCTATGACCAATACTATATAATATACAGCAAATTCCAAAACATCATAAGATCATCTCAGGACAAATACAAAGAAGCACTGTTTCATACAGACAAAATACATTTATTAGCCTGGGGGTGGGGTCATATAGGTTACATAAAAGGTCAAAAACATTTGTAAAAGGTCAAGCTAAATGGCAGATTGTTAGCTTCAACTAATCCACAGCATTTGCAAAATTTCCCAAAGCTGAGGGTGGGATTAAGGGGCCAGCATGATCTACTGCTGTAAGTCCAGCACCAGGATGGAAGAACCGAGTGCTTGTTTCCCTAAGACTCCAAAGAAAAAGGTGACCCAACAGTGATCTTAGTAAACATAAACACCTAAATGGCTGGGCAAGTATAGAGTGCTATTAAATTGGGAAAATCATTAACCAACTACTAGGGTAAGAAAAGGAGGCAGAGGCTGCCCTGCCCTACCCGACAGATCAACAGTCTAGCACCACCTCTTCAACCAGAAGGCACCACATTCAAGAAAGGCCCGAAACACTAGTCTCTTAGCCACTCTCCATTACCTTGATGGGGTTTTTCATTAAGATATAAATTCAAACATAGAAAGACAACAAATTGCAATGTTTATACTAGATACAAGACACAGAATTAGGGAATTTACTGAAATAATTATTTGTGCTTACCGTAGAAAAGGAAATAGTTGTATTCTGATACTGTGAATGTATTTGAAAAATAAGAAAAGTCACATTGCTGGAAATATGACGCAGAATACCTTCCTTTGGAAAGGGCCTGCTGAGCTCAAAGTAGCTAAATCTTCCCATAGAAAACTCAAGAAGACCTACGAAGGGAGAAAATTTTCATTATTACCATTATAACTCCAATATCAATGTTGACATCACATTCATAAAGGTACGAATAAAAGCCTCAGAGAAACTTCATTTAGTGTTTTTTTATCAAAAAATTGATAGAAAAAGTTATTGGTGGTTAAAATTTGATTTCTAAATACTAGAGAACATTTTAATAGTTCTAATGAAGATGGTGTCATTTTTCCTATTTATGTAACCAGAAAGACATTTTAACTTTAATTCTTATATGGAATAAAGTTCCAGTCAAAATGAAGGTGAAGCTACTAGGGTATTGTTAATAGAATCTGGGTATAGAAGTTGGAAAATTTGAAGAAAAACATGTTTCCATTTTTCAGAGTGTCCCACCATCAAGATTATCTTGAACTGGAAAACACATTACACATAAAACTATTGCTAAATATCCATAAATGGCACTAAAAACATTTCATCAATTGCCCCTTACTTTTTGCTATCTATCCTCCACCTCTCAAGCCTTAAAAATATCCACAAATCTGAGCCTTCCCTGGTGGTGCAGCAGGTTGGAGCGCTGTACTGCAAAGCAAGTCAAGCCATGGCCACCTCACTGGGAGTTCGATCCCCTCTCTAGAAGTGATCCACATGGTGCAGTAGACCTCTCCTGACCTGCCCGCTGCTCCCCTCAGCAGTGTATTTTGTCAAATCTGCTTGTTCTGCTCCCCACTCTGTTTCTGCTGAATCCTCTCATCACCCCTGCACCTCTGGTCTGTACCCCATTTCTGTATGCAAAAACAAAATCTTTTTTAAAATCCACAAGTCTATTAGTCTGCCAAAAAGCATTATTAGTTTGTTAACTAGGCATTAAGAGGATTTCCACACTTAGCTGTCCAAAGCACACGGTTTGTTTCCTGCCTTTTCTAATCTACCCATTCAGTTTTTAAGTTTTTTCCTTTTCCACCTATTTTTCCTATTCCATAAATATTTAAGTGATTATGGACTACTCATTCTGTGATCAAAAATGGTACAGGTATTGTGATCAAAAATGGAACAAGTACATTCTAAGGCTATCCAAAACATTACCACATAGATTTGCCCTGCAGTACATCTTTGAAACTAAATTTTTGTCTATTTCTTAACCCATGGGCCTTGAATGAAAGTGCTGGAAGACAGGTAAATTATCAGCACATTAAGTCTTGATCATAAAGTTTTCTTAACCTCTTCTTAACCTACTACACAGAATTGAAAATAAACTACCAATCAGAAATACTTAAAGAACCAAAGATTTTCAGGGCTTTAAAATAACAGGAGATATAGGACCAGAGAAATAGAAATGAATTATTTTGTTTCTCAATTTATCGTAAAAACATTGTATAGTTTGCTTTGTAGAGGCCTTTATAAGCCCATTGTAGTTATCACTAAATACTTAATGTTCCTTGAGGCTGCTGCAAAAATTACCTTGTCATTTATATTTCGATCTCCAGCTGTCTCTTCACCAGTAAGACTTTTTAAAAAAATTCTAGGTGGGTCCTCCCTGGTGGTACAGTGTGTTAAAGCACAACACTAAGAAGCTAAAGCCACTTCAGCATGAGTTCGATCCTCGCCCTGGAGGTGACGCACATGGCAAGGCTCTCCTGACCGCCCGCTGCTCCTCTCAGCAGTATACTTGTCAGTCATCCTGTTCCCCGCTCTGTCTCTGGTGAATCCTCTCACCGCCCCTGAACCTCTGGCCTGTACCCCAGTTCTATATGCATAAATAAATAAATCTTAAAAAAATTCTCTAGGTGATTCTAATATGCAGGTTTAAGAATTTCTAACAAAATGTTTGATGAAGTAAATGAATGACAGCCCTTCTTAGTTTTTATTAACCTAACTTCTGGGTGACAATCCTTTGTAAGTGTTACATCCTGGCTGACCAATCACCATTTCACAGTTTTTATAGAACAGTTTTCATAGAAGATTACAACCAAGACAGTTGTGGTGTAACCCCTGGCTCAGCGGGCCTTTGTCATATTTGACATTCCTACCGCAGAGTCAGGCACCTAGTTAGCTCAGGGTGAATGTTTAGCGAATGATGGTTGCACTTTGTGACTTCAGGGAAGTCATTGATTTTTGGGCCTCAGTACCTTCCTGACAGGGCAGCAAGAACGATGCTGCAAAGTATTTAAATTATCTAACAAATGGGGAAAAGTTTTATGAACTGTCCAATGATACACAATTAAGTATCACTAGTAACTTCTATGAGATTTTCAGCTTTTCAGTCTCACCATCTTACTAAAATATAGTCAGGTAGACATTCAGTACAGCCCTGCAAATGAAAGAGTGGAAGGAAGGAAAAGGACTAACAAGTACAAATAAATGCCCAGAACATTCACTGTAAGCACCAAGTTGGGCAAGAAATTTCCAGAGAGTGCGAAGGAAAAAAGGTGAAAGTTAAGACAACTTTAACAGCCCAGACTGACAGAAACTGCATTTCAAAGTTCCATTTCTAAAATAGACCTGCCAAAAGAAGACATGTTTCCAAAATGTATCTTGAAGAAGCTGGCAGGAGCTTAACTTCACCTCTAAGTCATCTGGACAAGGATTCTTTAAAAATATTTTATGAGGTGTAATGAGATCTTATGACTTGGGGAGTAGGAGGGAAACAGGCAGAACATCTAACGAGATTACAGAGCAAATGGCTAACAGGGAGCCAGGCCTTACACAAGCTATAGCTCTCCTCTACTCTCTCCTGCCACAAATATTTTTGTGCACTGACCCATAGGAGTCTATTCTCTATTTTGCACAACCTTCTTCTGTTCCCACGGAAGTCACTTTTTCTATCCAGTATTTCCATTCTAAAAAGAGCTGCCCAATCCTATACTTGCCCTCCCTCTTCCCAATCAGGTCCTAAACTTACAACTTTACACTGTTCTCTTTCTTTTTATTATTTGGCCTCCATTGTTTGTGAGAATGAATAGGAAATCAAGAACAGCTCTGTAACATGGGCAGGTCTGCCAACAACTGGCCAATTTCTCGTGTGTCTTTTATTCATTTTCTTTACCCTAGAAACACAGGTGAATCATGTTTCTTCCCGTACTCTTGGTCTGCTCATTTCTTGAAAGTGCTATCAATGACACACACCTTAGCAGGCCCAAAGGCATTGCCCTTAACCATGTTAATTCCATGTGATTTAGAAAGAAACAATCTGAAACAATAGTCAAGGATGGAAAGAGAACAGGGACTCCAAAACAAAGGAAAAGAGTCTGCATGTAAGATTTCTCTCTTACACCTGCTGGTAACACCAGACATTCCAGGAACTAGATCAACTAACTTCCAAGATTCACTGAGCTATCAAACCACATTAAAATTATGCAAGTTAGCTAAAGATGGGTAAGTCCTCCCAAACTACAGTAGTTGCTTAATTTCTTCCGTTTGTAATTAACAGAATCCTCCCATAGAAATTCAGCCATTTTCCGGGATGATCTTGCAAGTCTTGAGTTAAGGTTTTCTTAGTTTCCTCGTGCATTTTAATATGTCAAATGTTGAGAATGTCATCTTGAACTATCACCAGCAGTGAAGTTCCTTATATAGTGCCATTCCCATACAAGCAAGGCAAAAAGAATGCGAGATAGCAGTGCTGCAGTCACAGGCAAGAAACAATGTCTGAAAAACATTGAGTTCTCAAATTATTAGGAAGAAGTCTTAACTTTTTGGTAAAAATTTCTAGATATTTTTAAGTGCTCAAACACAGAGTTGGAAGAGCATGATCGAGCCCTCAGTTTCCTCCTCTGCGAAGTGAGGATGCTAACTATCTGATAACAGAGAGAGTTAGATAAAGCTGCTGCTGTGAAAAGCACCTGGCAAACTGCAGTGAGCACCCCACCACAAAATTTTTGCTGTAAAAATATAACTGCCCTTTCAACTTTTGGTCTTACTCCTATGCAAAGATTCTGGGGTTCAGTTTGCGCAAGAGCTTTTCAAAGATAAGCACGTAGGCACACAATCACATTATTCAGAAAATATTATGTTTCAAACCCGCAACTGGTCTTCTAAGTGCTAAACAGAACTAGGAATGTGCTTAAGCTCAAGGAAAAGCATATGACCGTCAGCCTACAGAATGCTTTTTACAATTTGATATTAACAAACCACGGGCACGAACTAGCGCTAAAATCCATTCGCCAGGCCACATGACCTAAGATGACAAGTCCTATTCTTGGTTCACTTTTCCTCTCAAACTCTGCAGAGCAGAACCAATTTGAAAAGCATTTGCATTTCAGGGTGTGAACATCCGCTTCAGCCAGGAGGGCCTTAAATCCCAGAGCTCTGGGTTCTGCCTGAAGCCTGGCTGTACAGGGGTCACAAACGCCACTTGGCAGCAAAGGGATTCTTTGGGGGCCCAAAGTAACGTGTGTGTCCAGGAGTTACTAATCTCTTCCCATTCCCCCTGCTGAATTAGGAGGAGAAATGGGAATTTCCTTTTGCTGGAAAGGACCCTGACGCATCCCAGTCGCTTCTGAACTCTCGACTGCCCCTCTAGGTGTAGACCCCAGGGTAGATTTTGCCCTTGCAAGAAGCGCAAAAGCCACTCCTGGGCCGTGACACTATGCCGCCCCCGACCTTACCCTCGCTGGAGTTCCCGACGGCCTCGACTGTACCAACCATCTCCAGCTCCGACGCCAGCAGTACCAGGACGAAGAGCCCGAGCCGCCCCATGGCGGCCGGGATCCCGCACGCCCAACAGCAGGGCCCCGGAGAAGTGCGCGCGGGACCCCGACACCTCAAGAGCGCTAGTCTGGGGCTCCGGCCCCGCGCGCCATGGCCCACCAAGTGCACGCCCCTCGCCCCTGCCAGTCAGAAGTTCACCCAGCCCGACCGCAGGTTCCCTCGCCCCGGAGAAACGCTACGCCACGCCCCTTGACGTCAGCACGCGGGGCGTGGGGCGTGACCAGGTGAGCGAAAGGCGTGTCCAGTGGCGCGGGGCAAATCCCGGAGGGCGGGCAACGGCGACGCCACGGGACCCGAGGGCAGGCACCAAGACATCCCAACTAGTACGGTGATGTAATCTGTACTTCGGTTTTTTGTATCTCCCTTACGAAAACCATGGTTAGAGTAAAAAAAGAAAGTCTGTTGCGGCCTAACGTCTCCAAGTTCCTCTTGCATCTCTCCTTCGTCGGCTTCACCAGCAAGCCCACACTGAGAATTAAAGCATACACCCTATCTCCGATTGGGGCCGCCCCTTCAAGACCAAAGCAACGCTGAAGGCACTACTAACCCTGGCCTGGGTTGCATTGCTGAATTCAAAATTTTTACCTAGGGTTTAATTTTTTTTAATTCACCTGTGTCCAGGAATTTCCTACTTTAATAATTATGGTGGTGATAGAGGAATAACATGTATGTTTATATTTTAGCTTGAAATGTCGTTTTTATTCAAACTTGCCCTCTTGCTCTTTCTACTATACTTCACCTCTCCCTCCCCAACACCCTCCAAGTCAGGGACTGTGTTGTCAGACGCGCTAACACATTTACTAAGTGAATGAAATCAATCTCTACAGTCTGGGAGGGAAATGCCATTAATTTACAACCATGGAATCTCTGCAGTGTATCATCCTTACCTCACTTAAATTTTAATTTAAATCTGTGAACGTTAAAGTTGGTATTGCTGTTGGTGTGCGACACCATCCACCTGGGAAGCAAAACGAAATATGTATCCAAGACCGTGCTTAGAAACGAATACAAGTGAGGACGGAGGCGGAACATTACTTTAAAACCTGCAGAATCCAACAGTCTCTAGAAAGACTTTTAACACCTGAAAACCAAAACAAGTGGTTCCCCGGACAGTCTCCAAAGTATTCCAAATGGGCAAACCCTCAACCTCTCCCCTGGCCGAGCGCGCCCAAAGGAAGCCTCAGACAGACCCGCCCCCTTCCCCGCGGGGCAGGAACTCCGCCTGACTCCACCCCCTCCGAGCAAGCGGCCCTCGGATTGGTGGGATGTGTACAAGCGCTGCCCAATCTCGTACGAGCAACTGTCTCGGCGTCCTTCTGAGTGCTGGAGGAATATGGCGGATCGGCTCACTCAGCTGCAGGACGCGGTGAACTCGGTGAGCTGTTTCTCCCCCACCCCAAGCCTCTGTCTTCTTTTTTTTCCGAGGTAAAACCAGGAAGGAAAGGGGGTAGGGAGGCAGAACCCGGGAGTAGGGAGCAGACTGAACCCGGACGGGGCGGAAAACGCAGAGGAGCGCGGCGGAGGAGGCGGGGAGCGGCCTGCAGCCCGAGAAGGGGGGTCTCGGGTCCCGGACTCTTGGGCGTCGCTGGCCTGTGCTTTTCCTGCGCGGGGGTGATGGCGTCTTTAGTGGTTGTGAGCCCTCTTCTCGTGTTGGAGAAAGGGGAAAGCGGAACGTCCCCACGCTCATCCCCACCTCAAGTGAGCTTTCACCCAGGAGGTGAACTTCCGCTCTTGGCGATGGGATCCTTGTCTATGGATGTGAAATTTTGTTTCCGCTTATTTGATTTTCTGTAGAATCTCTTTCCATCTCTTAGTCACTCCTCATCATAATCAGTTAGACCGTGAATCTTCTCATCCTCGTGGGTTTTTAATGTCACCCCAAGAGACCACTCTGACGAAGGTTCAGGTCTTCTAAGGAGCCTTTCTTGATTCTGTTGATTTATTTTTCCTATGATGGCTAAGTGGAACTAAATGTCAACCAAAGGGCTCTTACACTTGTTACTATTAAGAGTTAGTTTTCACTGCTAGTTGGTGTTCTCATTGTCATTCAGTTTATAATTTGATACCCTAGGTAAAATGCTACCGAGAGTATGTTGAAGAAAATCAAAGTATCTGATCCTTTGCCAGTTATTTTGTTCCCCCCTCACCCCCTTTTCAGAGGCTAATCAGTTGTCATACCTACTTATTACATCAGTCTGGTTACCCTTAAAGAGGGTGAATCTCCTTGTAAGAAACTGATCTTTAAGTGCACATAAAATTAAGATTTATACCTTGAGAGGATCAGCCTTGATGAGTTCACCAAGATAAGTTTTACCTAATGGTGACTTGCCTCGGTGGACAGCCAGCTCCCTCAGGGAAATAATCTTTGGGGGTTTGAAAACTCAAATTATAATAATGCTGCTGTAAAGAAATATTCTTTAAGGGAAATGCTGCATGGTCACACGTATCTGGCAGCCAGAAATATAGAAAGAACAAAGTGAATATGTATGGCTTTAGCATACATAACAACATGCCTTAATTAGGCATGCTGATAATTGACTTGGAGGAGAAATGTATAGGTTAACTAGTCAGAGTGTCTGCTGTGTATATAAATGCTGTCATGTTTACAGAAAAGATGTACTCCTTAAGGAGTACTAGAAAGATGTCATATGCCCAAGAGACTTAAAGATTGCAAAAGCAAGTGTGCGGTTAGGGAGTTATAATGAACTTGACGCTGAAATAAATTGGGATGTTGAGTGATCTAGAAGGAACCTTTTTAGCCTTTATCTGAATTATAACTATTTTTGAAATAACATAAGATTAAAATAACATTAAGATTGCCATAAGGGCCGAAACTATGTTCTTGTTCATTATTTCTCTCTAAGGCTTACATACACTTCTTGTCTTAGAATAGGTTTTTAATGAATATTTGTTAAATAAATGGATTTTGCGTGCTTTTGGACAGCAGCTTTTGGACAGCAGCTTTTGGACAGCACATAGCCACAGTGTTGCATATTTTAAAAATTTTTTTTTCTATTATAAGAAGCAAAATAGGGACAAAATGGGGAAATTAATCACTGGTTAGGTATATGAGAAGACATAGTAGAAAAACAAAATATTTGACTTAGATTATTGAAAACTTTGAAACAGCCTAAAAAGTTAGAAATTTATTTAGAAGGTCATGTTGGGGTGAGCTCATTTTTTTAAGCAGGATAAAACACTATAGTGAACTAGAAAATAATGAGGAGCCTCTGGTGACTGATGTGATGCAAGATAATTGGTCAGACTAACACATTGGCAGTAGGCAATTGTAATGGGAGGAAAAGGGAAAGATGTGTAGGATTAGCAGGATTTGAAGATGAAAGGAGTTTAAAGTTAGTCCTGTTAGCTAGAAGATTCTCAGTACAAATTAGATGTTAAAGAATTGAGCTCTGTCATTCAAATAAAGGTAGAGAAATTTATTCACGATAAGCAAAAAGGATTTGAGGTTAGAGAGCTCAGGACTATCTAGAGAATTTGGTGGGGAGAATCCACATGTTCTACTGGAGATGGTGAGGAATTGGTCTACTCATTGTTCTCAGCATTTCATTGGGAGCACCAGGAATCTATAACTTCAACCTTAAAAGTTTCTAAACACTGAAGGCTCAGGGTTTACCCAGTATTTCTTTTTTACAAGAATCACACCTTTTTTAACCTGGAGTTATGATTAGATATTTATTACCACTCAAATCTGCTCTTTCCTTGTACAGCCCACTTACTTGTGCTTTTAACAAGTATTAGCATGTATTCTCTTATCATTCTTTGGAATAAAAGGACAATTTTGCATTTACTTTAAACTGTTCCACTGTATTGATACCAAAACTATTGGTTTATTTTACATTATTAAAATATTAAATCATTAATAATGAATTCCTAATTTTATCCCAAATTAATCTTTTTTCATTTTGTTCAGAGATACTGTTACAGAAACTTACTGGGGTTTTGCTATTAAAATTCTTAATCAAAAAAAAAATTCTTAAATCCTTTCTTAATCTGATATACTTTTTTTTTTGGCCTCAAGCTTGCAGATCAGTTTTGTAATGCTATTGGAGTGTTGCAGCAGTGTGGTCCTCCTGCCTCTTTTAGTAATATTCAAACAGCAATTAACAAAGATCAGCCAGCTAATCCTACAGAAGGTAAATAGATTTTCTTTGTTTATCTTATTTTGACACCTGCTACTTTGTACTATTACTACAAGTTTTGCTTGCAATAAATGAATTTCTTAAAGTCAGTTTATATGGCATCTCATAATCTGTCAAGAAAAGTAACATTGTTATTCCTTTAGAGGGGAATATGCATAAATTTAGCTCAAAGACCTTAAGAAAGACATCCCATTTGCACAATCCTTTATTCAGATGTCCACCATATTGTCTTGATACATGTTGTGTATAATTCCCAATTTGAATATATGATGGCTACCTCTCAAACATGTAATAGGATGGATGTGTTAAAATTATACTTTAATAATTAGATATCTAGTACAGAAAGACCTTTAAGGTTTTCTGGTTTCTTTAATTTAAAATTTAATTTTTGTTTCTGAAAACTTGAGATTTTCAGATGCCCTAAATTAGTAATATCTTTCTTTAGAGTATGCACAGCTGTTTGCAGCCTTAATTGCACGAACAGCAAAAGACATTGATGTTTTGATAGATTCCTTACCCAGTGAAGAATCTACAGCTGCTTTGCAGGTAAATAACTCTTTTCTTCTGAGAACTTTGCCAGTAGAAAAATGTGAATTAAAGTAGATTTTTATTTTTATTTTAAGATTTATTTATGCATACCAAAATAGGGGCAGAGGGTAAGAGCAGAGGGTAAGAGCATTCACCAGAAACAGAGTAGGGAGGAGAACAGGCAGATGACTGAAATACACTGCTGAGAAGAGCAATTGGCGGGTCAGGGGAGGTCTGCCATGTGGGTCACCTCCCTGGCTGGGAATTGAACACATGCTGCAGTAGCTGGAGATAGCTTCATAGTGCTGTGCTTTAACATGTTGCACCACCAGGGAGAGCCTAAAGCAGATAGATTTTTTAAAGATGTTCTAATTTTTAAAGTTACTTTCAGATTAAAATTTAAAATGGGAGTTGTATTAATTGTGAAATATGTTGTTTGTTGAAGACTGCACTGATTATTATCTACTGGTCTGTGTAGAGAGAGAATGAGCTATATAATTTCAAGTTATAAGGAAACTATTTTCCTCATGTTGGGTCTTTTCCTATCAGAGATCAGGAGGGAGTAGAGTAATGGTATCCAAAAGCACTTTGGAAGTGAGTCACATACAGACATCTAAAGATGAAGGAAAATTAATTTTTTTTAACTATTTTACATGGGAAAAACCGTTGAAGGTTATCAGATTTTAGAATTTCTGCAAGATCTGACTGAAAAATCTATCACAATGGTTGCATAGTCATCTACATTAAAAACAAAAATTTCTACTACAGTTTCTTTTCAAACTCATAAATCTCCAAGTTTGACATTTCTCAAAAGATTTTTAAATTTGTGTCTTATAAAGGCTGCTAGCTTGTATAAGCTAGAGGAAGAAAACCATGAAGCTGCTGCCTGTCTGGAGGACATAGTTTATCGAGGGGACATGCTTCTGGAAAAGATACAAAGTGCACTGGCGGATATCGCACAGTCACAGCTGAAGACAAGAAGTGGCGCTCATAACCACTCTATGCCAGAGTCCTAGTGCCGGAGTGTATCTGCTGTGTGACAAAGGAACTCTTTCAGTGCCACTAAGAATTTTGCATCAGGTTGAGATGTAAGCCTTACCAACTTTTCAGCACGATGACACATGCTATCTTTTTAGGTATTTTTAATAGTGTTCTATTTTCAATCTTGATAAGTAAGCTTGTAAAGTTGTAATGAACCAGCTTTAATCCATCGTTAAACCCTCATTTTTGTTATCTGAATGAAATTACTGAGGCTGATAATGCATCAATGATCATAATTAAACATGTACTGTAAAAGTCTGTGGTGACATTTCTATCTTTTATTTTTGCCACATTTGTACAGTCTTTTTACAAATCAAAAGACCCCTCAAGCCAGAGAAGAAGTGTTAAGAGCAGAGATGGGCATTTCAGTTTAGGTTGGTGTCCTTCAGTTTCTTTAGAGGTGACATGTTTCAAATTTAGAGCTTGAACAAGGAAAGGTTATAAAGCCATTGGCTTTTAAGAAGCAGAAAGAGGGTTAGTATGGCTGGCTGAGAGATGAGGTTGGTTTTATGGAATCCCATTGTAGTTCATATCCACATTTGTTCCACCAAGAAGGTCTCTTTCATACTATGCTTATGGTTTGTGAGAACTTTTTTTTTTTTGCTATACTTTTCACTAATCTTTCTCCTTAATTTACAAAGCAGTGTTTTCTGAATCAGTTTCTTCTCCTTTTTTTTTTAATCTATCTGAAGTTTCTGTCTTCTGACCTTATTATATCTCAGCTTCTATTGTTGCATTCTTATCTGACCAGAATGTATTTGATAATATTTATGTCAGCTTCTATTGTTGCATTCTTATCTGACCAGAATGTATTTGATAATATTTATGTCAGCTCTGTAAGTACTAGTTCATATCCAACTCTTAGATTTCCTTGAACCCTTTGATTAACTCCTCTAGAAAGCTGGAGTTGAAGTGTGTTCTATAGTGTACTGACATTGTACTATATTATACTGATTCAAATTCCTGATGCTACATTTACATTTATCTTGAGCTGCATTTTCTATAATGTAAAAAGTAGTTATTGGCACAGCCTAAGTGCTACGCTTTCAGGACTAGTTTTGGGGCAAGTTAGCTATATCTCAGTAGTCATACAATAAGGGTATTATCATTAATTACATCATTGGTTGTTATTAAGAATAAATGAGTTTATTACACACATGTGGTATTACAGCATCATATGCTAAGACCTTCCTGGTGAGGTTGAGACCAGAGAGTAACTGAAACAGTGATGTGAAAGGGATCATTGTGCCTGCAGTTTTGGGGTCTTTAAGGGCAAATTTAATCTCTCCCATATTTATACACAATATTGGTTTTTAGTTATTTTGGCTGAGGTAGATGGGGAGGTATGGTTTTAGTGCTTTCACTTTATTTTTTCCACTTGTTGACATGTTCTGTAGGTTGAGAAAGTAAAGTGGAAGAGTCACCACTTCAAAGTTTAGTGTTTGGGGAGATGATTACTGATGGGTTATAGAGTTACTGGATCTATTTATAGTGGGGTCATGCCAGAACCCCATTTTCACTATTGTCATACCTTCCTCTACAAAGTGTTCAAGAGATTGTTTCAGATGCCAGGATGCATTCTATAACCCCTTAACATTTTCCCATACCCCCGCTTCCTGCACTCATGTTCCTCAGCTACTGAAAAATTGTCCATCCAATATGGAGCTAAAACCCACAACCCTGAGATTAAGATCTCTTGTTCCTCCAGGTAATCTGGCCAGGAACACACCAGAGACTCTGGATCTCTTGCTCTGGACCTTCATTATATCTTATATGAGATTATTTCATATACGGAGTGTATGGGGTATTTTCACACCTTCAACCAATGACAGCAAGTCACTGAAAGGTGACTACTTTTCTGATGATTGATAAAAAAAATGAGAGTGAGCTGCCCTGATATTTGCAGTAACAAAATGGCTCTGTTAACTAGGTGAGAGTGCCAGTGAGTACTCTCGCATGCAGTGTGGGCCATTTGTCGCCCAAGTCTAACCTAAAAGTTAGATGCAAAGTGCCTCATGAACTGACTTGAGTTCATTTTTAAATCCCCTCAGAAGAGGGACCTCCCTGGTGGCAGAGCGGGTTAAAGAGCAACACTGTTATCTAACCGCAGCTACTTCAGTGCAAGTTCGAGCTTGATCCCCAGCCCCAGAGGTCTCTGACCTCTCTGACCCACCCACTACTCCCCTCAGCAGTGTGCTTCATCAATCTGCCTGTTCTGCTCCCCACTCTACCTCCGGTGAATCCTCCCACCGCCCCTGTACCTCTGGCCTGCAGCGTAGTTCTGTGTGCATAAATAAATAAAATTCTCACCTGTTGCACCTTTTAAGTGATTCTGTCTATAAATGTGTTTATATTGCTAGTGTGGGAAATCTCAGGACAGTCCATGTATTGCCCCTAATGTGCACACTGCCTTGGAGAAGTGCTTTTGGGACTGACTTCCTTGTAGTCCAAGGGACAGTGGTGGGTGGTCACCAGAGGGCTAAGTGTGTAGGGTGAGGCTTGCCCACTGCTAGTCATACCTTCTGGATCTTGTGATCCATCTGGAAGGAAAGGATTCCGCTCCATCCCCCGCCCTCCCTCAACACACACACCCTTCTCAAAGGGTGCCAGTTGGGTTGGAGTTCAGTCTACCCTTGAATAACAAGGGTTTCACCTGGACAGGTCTTGGTTGTTTATTTTTTAGTAAATACAATTGGTCCTTCATCTCCCAGGTTCTGCATACGAGGGCTGGTTGTAACCATGGGGACAGGGCATGGCTAAGGCCTGGAGATATTAGCACCACTGAGCCACACATTGTTCAAGGGTCCATTGTACTTTTGCAAACTCTGAAGCTGTCTTTAAGGCCTAGGTGGCCCCATAAGGATTGGCCAGTCTGAACGTAGTCTAAACAGTGTTCAACTCTAGCTACAGATTAGAATCACATGAGAAGCTTTTTTAAAAAATGATAGTGCAGAAGAGGTGTGAACCTATTTTTCTAAATCATACAATATTGTAAATCAGTGTGACCTCAATTGAAAAAAACACCCAAAATTAAAAAAACAATAATAATGAAAATGAAGAGGCCTCAGACCTCTCCCTTCCCCTGCCCGCCCCCTCCACTCTACCTTATTCCACCCCACCTTACTAATTCTAATGTGCATTTGGCGAAAAAGTCCCACTGGCCTGCTGGAAAGAAAACAACAGACCAGGGCTTCCTTTTCAGCAAAAATGGGTAGTACACTTGGACCAGATACATCTAGCCCTCAGTTTATTTATCGAGTGGAGATAAAACCTGCATCCAGTTCCTCTATTGATCTCAATGTTTATCAGCCCCTGCTCTCTGCCTTGGGCCTTGAACAGAGAATTTCATGCTCTGTAGTTTTAAACTTTTCTGATTCTCATTTAGCTTGTGTTTTTAGAATCAAAAGTAGAATGCACTTGCATTTCTTTCACTCAGCTCAGTTATTTTGAGGTTGGTACATGATGCAGCTTAATTTGTTTTAGTACTGAGTCTTACTCTGCTGCATGGGTATACCGTAGTTCATCACTTACCTTCTGATGAATAATAGTTAATTGTATTCCAGTGTTTATCTAATAGAAAACTGCAGCAAACATTCCCATGTTTGTACGGACATACACTATTATTTCGCTGGGCAAATAGCTAAGTAGTGAAATGGCTGGCCATATGATAGGGGTATGTTGAACTTCCTAAGAATCTGAAAACTGGCAATATTAAAATAAGAACAAGAAACACTGGCCAGAAACCTACGTTTTCTTTTTCCCTCGAATACTTGTTTCTCTGAATCTCTGTAAATCTTTTCCTAAACCTGTCCATTGTTAGAATACAGTTCTTTCCAAGTAACTTTCTGAAGTAAAACCAATCTTTTCTTTCTTATGTGCTAGACAAAACATTCGACTATTAGTTCCCTCTTGAATTTCCTGACAGTCATTAGTTTCAGATAGAGTTCTTGGTTGCAAACAAAAGAAAGTAAATCTAGTTAAGTTGAGGAGAAAAACTCTGGGAAAGTTAAAGTCTGCATAATGCGCAAGAAGACTGAATACAGACAAACAGAACCCAGATGGACACAACATAACTCAGCAGAGGTACTGGGTGCTGCGGGAGCCTGGTGACCGGCATAGGATGCTGCACTGGCACCAACAGTGCTGAACAGACATTTCTGTGCTCTGATACCTTTCACTCTGGACACTCTCCTGGCTCCCAACTCATGGTGACTAGATAGAGTGACTGTTCCCAAAACAACAAAAGGCCTCTAGAAAAAGGTCCAAGAAATGCAAATGACCATTAGAAAATATACCCAGGAAATATCAGTGGTATTCCTTTGGCATGATTCATTTTCAGAATGTTGGTTGTGTGGATTCCTACACCATTCTGACTGGTCTTTCCGCAGGTTCTGAATCTCCAACAGAAGCATTTTTACAGCATCCACCTGTCTCTGTTTCATCCTAGCTTGTGTCCAGAGAGCTGTTAAAAATGTATTGTATGGGGGGAAATAGCTCTTTAGGCACTGTACAGGGAAACACCACAAATGACTTGCTTTTGAAAACTTTTGAAGTGCAGTAGTATATTAATGGCTTGGGGAGTCCTCAAGTGAAGAATGGGTTAATTTTACTTCAGGTTTGACATTCGCTTTGGAGTACTGTACTAGCTGTTTGGCTGTTGGTCAACCCCACACTCTCCTTCCTCTTGGAGTCTTAGGGACTGGGAGCCTGAAAACATTACCTGGACTCTCATCAGCTGGTTTCTGACTTGGTTCTGGTGAGGGAGGCCTGACACTGGGGGGATGGCAGTGGGAGGAGAGAAGCCTCAGTCTTCTGGCATGGGCCATTCCCAGCAGGTGGCTGTACAATCAGGTCAACAGCAGCAGAGGACAACGCCCAACTCCAACAGCTGCAGCCACAGAAAATGGGGGACTGTGGCTTCCAGAGCCCAGAAGGGCTTTTGGGTTCTTGGCTTCCTATATAGCTGCTGCAGTAACTGCAATAGGGTACTGGGGTGCTGTAGGAGCCTGGTGACAGGGTGCTCATGGAAATCTCCCATTTGCTGTTCCAGACCTGGGATTGGATCTCCCTGTGATTCCTGATAGCTGAATAGTGCACTATCATTTCTTTGTCCCTTCAGCCCTTCTGACACTTTTGTAAACAATTCTCTGTATTAAAGTCTCAAAATTAGAAATATCTAGGGCTGATTGTATTGTTCTGATTAGACACTGAAAGATACAAATACGATATGCCTTTCATTTTCCCCCTAAAGCATCTTA